GATCAGGGATCATCAGTTAATTGGGTTAGATACATAGTATTCTTTTCAAATCTCCTAGCCTCAAGATTGTATCAGCATTTTCACAAATGGCATTCCAGCTTTAGCATTGTTTGGGAACATATTTAGTATTCTCACAATTTTTTAAAGATTTCACCAGCCACGGACATGGCTCTCAAGAGATTAGAAATATGATCTCAGGGCCACTGAGACATGTATGTAAACCAGACTTTCTTCCAATGCTCATCCTTTGCCAAATTAATGAACTCTCTCCCACAAGATATTCTTCCTCCCAAGATCTTGTAAACTTTGGCATGCTCTACAATCTTTCTGCTTCCCAGGATTTTATAACCTATCTTTATACAAAACTAAATTCAACAAGCTTGATATTTCCTCCCTCTGATCAACCCCCCCCCCCCTCTTTTCCCATGTTAGGGTTTCATTATAGGCTCCTGGGCCTTTCTCTAACATTACCGACTAACAAAATTCGCAACAGTATCTAGAAAATAGCAATATTTAGGTGTTCCTTGTTTAATACTACGTGGATTTATTCAAAGAATGTTTAAACAAGATCTAGTAAGCGCAAATTGAAAACTAGATGAGGACTTTGTCATTATCCAATTTCTACTTTAGGCTAACTTTTTATAACCTAATTTCGCGAACTCAAATTATTGGATGTTGCCTTAATAAAGGCTTAATGTTTTTCAAACAACCATTCAAACTGTGAATATTAAATTATATAAAAAAGGTGAAAAAAGATTTATATTTCTTGCAAACTGCGATGGTGGCTCTTGCCTCGACAAAAGCTGAAAGTGCCACACCTATAACATGCCACAATCTCTATCTTTATTGACATTTGATTTCAAGCTATAACAGTTCCTAAACCAGGAAAGTTTTCATCCTTCCTCCAGTCTATAAGCTGAGCTAAACTCTTACAATCCTCCACAACAGAACAAACAAAACAAGGCATGGTTCTGATATGCTAGCAGAAATTCTCATGCTTTCAAAAACCTTCCTCGCAGTCGTTCCTCCAGTTAAAACCGAATTTTCTGGACTCTGAATGAATTATACCTTTGTGGAAGGTCGCAATCATCTAGGTATACCAGAGGCGCTGTCCACAGCACCCTGTCACCACAAATATTCTCAAAAATGAATAAGACCTAGATTTTCAGGCAATGTGGTTTATTAACTTGATCTGTTTTCATCGGTCATTATCTTGTTGAATTCCCACACAATAACCGGATTCTCGTAATATCACACGAAGTTACAAGAAGCATGGCTACCTGTATCTAGCTTATCCCTGTACCAATTCCTTTCTCTAAGCGCATTAGAATTTCATTTCAAAATAGATGCCCATAACCAAAGGCCCCAACTTCGTACCAAAGAACGGTAGGGCGACTTGCAAGCACTTTCTCATAAAAAATTCGAAACAATTAAAAAAGGTTGATTATGGGTATTCTGGTTAATGATCACATCAATTATAGCGGAGTCCACCTGCAATGAAAATCACGATCATCGCTTTATGATGCAGCCATTTGTCGAAATTTAATGACTTGGAGTGAGGAAGAAAAAATTTGGCGCCAGAAGAAAGTAATGCCGGCTGGAATCTGCTACGAGCCTCTGTGATTGAGAAATAGAAGAAAGCCGACTTTTAATGTAAAAAGATGAAGCACTTATTCACTCTTCACATCACATTAAACCTTATAAATCTAGACGTAGACATTCTATAATCTTTGCTGATTGCAGTTTTTAGTTACAAAAAATTCGCTTAGTTAAAAAAAATTCAATTTCTAGACCCTGAAATTATTGTTTTTTAATTCTCAACCACAGACCTCGCATTTGCAATTTTACCCATTCCATTTTTGATCGCTCTTTGAATTTTGCCAAACAAATGATTCGGGTAATGCATATATCGTCAGAACTATGCTCAAAATTATTGCTTCAACCATGCAGTGGAATTGAAATACTTAGAAAAAGTCCTAGAAATCATTGTCGTTGATGCCACCAATTAATTGTGCAGAGGGTAAGAAAATTGACGAATAACTTGCTTCAAATTATGCAGAAAAGTTGTTATTGCTGTAAGATGCCAGGATCAACAGACAAAACCCGGAATATGTATAAGTTGGCATTGCTCTCAGGCTAATTATAAAAGGTGAAAAAGTATGAGCGTCCTAGTACACAGTTGTACTATGTGTTATCAAACGCTTCAAGCTTAGAAATTTGGTTTATTTGCACATCATCGATAAACTTCTATGATAACAGACATTTTAAGCACATCAGGTGGAAAGCAGAAGAGTTTCTCGTGTAATGCTACTGAGATAACACGAAAGCGCGTGGGATGCACACTGGCCAAGAGCAATTTTAATTAGGTTCATTTTTCTTCATGTTTAGCCGCCAACAATTTAAAGAGATTTTCACTATTCTGATTACGTTTTTCGAGAGATTTGTGACCGAAAGCAGACTTTTAAATATGCATGCATTGCTAAGTGGGCTGGCCTGCCGTGGTTGGTCGGTTCCAGTCTTCTGCTATGTCAGTAAGAGAATTTTTTAAATCTGGTTCTTAGTATCTGCGGTGGGGCAATTGTTGATGTGAATAACACTGGCAGATTCATATCGAATCTAGAGATCAAAGATTAATTTCCGGCTAGCGCTAATAAATTTTAAAATACAATTTCATTTATTCTGGCTCATTTCATAGTTATTTTTTGCTTGATACTTCCATTATAACAAACTATCAACCTATTCTCTAGAATTTGTTAAAACGCTGATTCTTTTCACAGAGACTCTGACAATTGTAATAGCCTATGGTTGTCCATAGCAGTTATGACAATAAAGTGCGTGACAATGGTGATAAGTTAGCCAAACAATGTGCCCACAAAAAAGTTACCACAAAAGTCTTGCGAGAAACCACCAATCCCAAATTATTGCAACAACGCCCTTCGAGTAATTGAGATAAAATAACAAGTAACTCGATAAGATAATTTGATTTCAAATCTTTATCATTGTGAGCGTCATAACACTAATGCAAGGAACGAAAGGAAAGTCGACATCTCCAGGATAGAGACGTGGAAAGCATTTGATAGTTGGGGGGGGGGGGGCACAGGTAGGAAGGAGCTCTACGCTATGTCATGTCAAAGTGGGCACTTCTGACATAAGGGGGAATTCCTTTAGAGTGTTGGTGGTATGTACCGCTTGTGCGTTGTGCCCCAGCTCCGACGTCTCTGAAGGGTCACCGAAAAATGACCATTCTTTCGTCATATGTTGTTGTTACAAAGTATAGTCGATAAACAAATTTGTAATTAACTTCACCTTCAGAAAATTACGCATCTCAGCAATTTTTGACTTGCTTGGTCATTTCTAGCTCCAAAACTATGTTAAAACAGCAAAGTTTGGTGAGAACCTTGTCCTGTGTGCAGTCGCGTAACAGAGCAGTCCGGGGCCTGTAAGAAATGCCGCTAGAGCCTCTCGATTCAATCTTGCCCTTTAGGATTGAAGGCTAAGACTTCAAAGCCCTTAAGAGTTGCTTTAACCCCAAACTATATTATTATGCTGGGTACATAGTATATACTGGCTTAAGAAAGATATTTTTACACAGCTCTTAAAAAATTAAATTCACTTTCAGAAATTAAAGCCTCTTTGTAAATCCTGCTATATGATACCCTTCAAACAAGGTTCGTTTTTCACACACTACGTCACACATAAATCAGGTTTGGGTCTATTGGGAAGGGGCATTGGGTAGCTTAGTGGATTTATGGAAGAAGGGGTGTGTCTTTTTGGAAGAAGTTTATAATAATTAAATGAGGTATTTTTACATGCAAAATGTGGTAAGATACAGGTAAAACCCAGCCCTCCCCCCAAAGTCTAGAAAAAAATTTAAGACGCAGGATACAATAGTCGGTAATCAGATATTAAAAAAAAACAAAAATAAAATATGCACTTTGGATTTCGTAAAATTATGACAAGTCCTGAGGTCTGGACCCTAGTCGGGACATTAATCACGTCACACCCTCGTTGTAAATAGGCCTAAGCAAGTTTTCACGCTCTCGCTTCGCTTGGAGTTCATCACTCAGCTGTAATTTAATACGATACTAATACGTTATCTTGGGTTTTGTTTTAGTAAATATATTTATCGTTTTATATAATTTCAACACGTTTACCTCTTTCTGTACTTCACGAAAAAGTACGAAAACATAAATGTTCAGAAACAATCAGATTGAACATAAAGAGATTATCCTTGAAATAAAAGAAAACCATGCAACTGAAAAGAATTTTTTTCGAAACAAATTTGTTTATTATTTAGTATCAAACATTGGCTTTTGAAAATGTTTAAGATGTTTGTTTAGTGTCATAACAACATTGTAGACATACCGGGAAACATTTCAATTGAAAAAAAAACTGAAAAATTTTCTTCGTCTTAGTATCCTGAATTGCCACGATTGTTAGTAAACGGGCATGGCATTGTTAAGAGTAAAATAAAAGCAAGGTAACTTGCCACAAATCCCACTTTTAGCTATTTTCATATAAAAGATTTTGTAAACGACTAAATGCGGGAAAATGTACACAAAACAGCCAATGTCTATCGAATGGGAGTTTGTTCTGATAATATTTACTTCAAAACACAATAACCAATACGACTGTTTATGCTCAGTTATTCAAAACTTCAAAACATAATCACCCTGATGTGAACAAGAGAATGCTACAGTTTTTGGCATGGAGCATTTCTAGATGAATACACCTTCATGAGAGGGTGTTTGGTGTGAAAACAGTCCTAGTCTCTGCTACTGTGCTCGCCCAAAATAAACTAGTGAGCATACGCCTTCTGTCTGTCTGTCTGTCTGTGGGAACTTTGAGATGAGGTACTGTGATATGGCTAAAAAATTCTCAGGCAGGTTTTGGCCATTTTTGTACAGTAAGCTGTTGTCTCTAGGGCAGCTTAGCACCTGCATACACGAGGCTTGCAAAATTTAAAGAAAGTCAAAAAATATAAACAAAAACGATGGTACCTTGTATGTTTCTAATGCAGCTTTTGCAACCTTTGCTTCTCTGGCCAACTCGTCTAAAATATCAAGACATGGAAAACCTTATTTACCGGTCTGTCATTAAGTGCATGATGCTCTTTAGGTAGACCTGTTTACGCTTTGGTGTATAGAACAGGACAGTTCGAAGCTAAATGCGATCATCAAGCAACTAAAATATCAAGACATTTAAATTATCGATAAAACCATTCAGGCGGGGATTTGCAGCCATTTATAATGAAGAAAGACTTAACATTTAGATCAACTCCATTGATATTTAATATTGCGCTTATTAGTACATATTCACCTTTCTCTATTTTTCAAAACTTCCAAGACAAAAAATGCATGGTTTGTGTTGCCTACACTATTTTTCAAGGTATTTCAATAAAACTATAGCAATCACAAAAGCTACATTCATCTAGCTAACCTTTTTTCTTTGGGCCACAAATCTCCGTTTCCCTAATTAGGTTTATTTTTGGAAAAGATTGATTTTTGCAGAAAAAGTAGCGATCAACCGATAAACGCGAGATAATAACCACGTGGCTTGATGGATTTTTTACGATATTGCTGATTCGTTTGTAAAAAGCTTTTAAGTGTTCCTTGGATCACGCGGGAGATGGATTTTGTATGCAATTTTTAAAGGCTTCAGGAGCTTAATTTCAAATTGAATGTAACCCGGTAGAACAGCCATTTAGAATGTTAGGAATCGCCGTAATATAATTAACTTAACATTTAATATAAAAACATAAACTGACATTACATTTTACAAGCCTGTACCCTGGTTACCATGGGTGCCAGAGCCTCTGTGAAAGAGAGGAGCCTCGAACAGTGGTCTCCCTCCAGAGCCTCGAACAATGGTCTCCTTCCTCCCCACCCGTTATACTACCCATTCTTCGAAGATCCACTTTTTCACTGAGGCTCTGACACCTAGGGCAACAAGCTTGCAAATCGCAAATGACTCGTTCACGGTGTTTCTCAAGAAAGGAAAAATTCAAGGACAGTTTCACTAAACAAAAACCCGGGCAGTCTATTTAGCTTGAAACTTACTGTTTTCTTTCAAGGCTTCAGCGAGGATCTCTTGAATCTAAGAAAAATGACAAATAGTAAAAGATATCACAATCTATAACGAACATTCTACGGTTTCTAAATACTAAAAATTCAGTTGATACGTTGGGGTTCATCTATCAAGCAGGTTGCTTTGTTGTCAAAAAGCCTGGATCTGAGAGGCAGGGATGCTGAAACGTTTCAAGGGCCTTGGGGCAAAACCGCAAATTTTCACGACCATGCCCTACAGATAAGCTTAATATGCGTTTCAGGATATTTCTTGCAGTCGTTTTCCTGCAATCGTTTAGAACTGTTCAACTTAATTTAGACTTTATGGGGCCTCCTAGGTCTTGAGGCTCAGGGGCAATTCTCCAACTCGCTTGCCCCCTCTCGCGGCCGCCCTGCTGAGAGACGAATGCGAAAGACGGTGTAGTCTCACGCACATTGCCTCGGTATAAAAAAGATCCAAGCCGCAGTTGTTACCAAAGAAGGTTCGATAACAGAACAAAGCGCAGAAATTCAATCTTATGAGAGGTCAAACTACTTTTATCACGTATTACGCTATGGGAAACTCTCCATGAGTAAAAGATAAAATAACAGGTAAACAATTTAGCACAACGTGTCGGCAACCGCAGTTCAATCGCATATACACTGCAACTACAATTCTCAACTGAAATTTCCTTCAAGTGAAATTTTAAACTGCTAGTGTTTTAAGGTGATTTCGAATCTGCTTAGCATTCGACCTTTTTCAAGGTGGTTAGGCTTTGCTTTGCACTGAAGGAAGCTTCGATTTCAGCCTGCATGGGTGTTGATTATGGAAGTTTTGGATATAAAGATCAAATGTGAAAATGCATTTTGCACCTCAGTGTATTTAACAGAAGGCTGATGAGCCTTAAATCGAGTGATTAGTGAAAATACACTTTTAGGCAATGCTTAAACAATTTTAAAGGACATGGTTCACAAAACACTTTGGGCGTGGATGTCCGCTGGGACATCCATCTGTGCCAGAGCCCCGGCACAGTGGCGTAGATAGGGGGGTCAGAAGGGGCAAAAACCCTGTAACACTAAAATGTTACTTTGTCGGAAGGTTTCTGGTCTTGTCTGAAATATAACGTGGTTGTCTACATATTTTTAAAGTGCTCCTTTTTGAGGGAAAAGCTTAATAAAACGATTTCCCCCGACTTAAATATGGTATGGAAACTAAAATGCCTTTTTAAGAGGTGAAGACCAGAAATCTTCAAGAAGGAAGATTTATGACACTTAGTTTGAATTGGGTGATAAGAGGTTTTGTTCAAATTCATGAAAAAGTAATAATCTAAAAATCACATCCGAACCTCGAGTCATGCTTTTTAAGTAATGTGTGCTTATAGCATCTTTTTAAATTGCCATTTCACAACTGTTGTGAAATACATTACAATTCGATCTACACAACGCTGTATGTAGCAGTTACATGTCTCGCCGTTGTTGCAAGATGAACAATCCAATAAAAACCATTTAGAAGAATTTAGGCGAAGGGAAAATAACAACAGCAAGGTCAAACTGGCGAGAAATTATAAGAATATGTCGCTAAAGACTAAAAAGAGGCTTTTGGTGGGCCGGCCAAAGCACTTAAGCCAAATGTCTTTTGTCCTAAGCCAGATTAAAGCTGTTGACGGTGATTTCCAATTAAGTTTCTAGAGCTTTCATTCATAAAACATAGTTTCGTACCTTGCGTTTATGTTCATCTTCAATTTGCTTCAATTCTTCAGCATTATCTAACTCAATAGCTCTGTAGATGAATATTAAATCGCTAAGTTAGATGTAAAGAACACTTCACCGTACTCTAAATGCTAAAGAAAAGCACCATTTCTATCACATCGAGATTATAGTAAAAAATCTTCTGGAATGCTCGTTAAACATATTTCGAATACTTAAAAACCTGTGATAGAATATCGAACAAGTAACTCGAGGAAGAGGATTTTACAAACAAGCTATTAAATTGCAAATACGAGAACTAACAAATGCTAAACTCACATCTGAAAAAGATTACAATGACTTTTTTAAGAAGCCGTCTTTAATAAACTGACCTTCAAAATGACAAAACAGTCCAGCACAATAAAATATGGGATGGAGATGATCATTTCAGTGTGGGGCATCACATCTCCCAGAAGCAAGGGTCTATTAAAAAACTGTCTTAACATCGGCAAATCTAGCAAATCTCTCCATCAAGGAAAACTTAGCCATAACGCCCCTCCTACAAAACCAGCCACGCCACGCCCATCAAAGAAATTCTATTGTAAACCCTTTCTAGCAAAATCTAGCCAGCCTTGATGATAAAAGTGCATTATCGCAGTCGTTTCTCGTGCTCTTCGTCGTCAATTGGCATCTACAATCGACCTGTATAATTTAGTTGAGGAACGTCCTGTGAAAGTGCGAACCAAAAGCAATCTCCAGATTTTTTCCCTGCGTATAACTATAACTTAAAAGCAGCTTCAACTTTGGGTAATCAGGAATCAACAAGAGCCCAAAACGCAAGTAAGCATGATCAAATATACTATAGTTAGCTTAATGTTCATTTAAAAAAAAAAAAGAGAAATACTCAGGGCATTTCTTAAGGAATTTTGAGTGGTGGGGCATTTTTCAAAGGGGCCCATGCTCACCTAAAGAAATTTTACGTGGTTTATGGACAGGGGCTTCAGATTGTAATATGTTTCTGCTTATGCTAAAAAATCCCGGTTTGTCGCAAAGGCTAGAAGGGTTGTTTCACACATATATTAACATAGGAAATTTGCTAAGAAAAGTTAGCAATTTAGCATGGAATGCTCAATTCAAATCTTTGCCTTATTTGTAATTTATCACATTTACCAAAACGTCAATGACATTATGTTGTTTCCATACTTACTTTCTTAAGAATGAGTCTCGAGGCTTCAAGATTTGACATTTATTGCTAGTACAAAGCCTATTTAAAACGTTCCAACATATTTTTTGTAAACAAAATTGGAACCTTTTTCTGTGAGATGTTTTAGATCAGAAACCATACAAGCAAATATACTATATTAAAAAGTTTGCAGCGATGAATCTGGATATCTTGCAAACTGAGGGCATAGCTTCTTCTACAGTATGGACTAGAGGAGAGGAGCGATTTCACCAGAACACCATGATGATAGAAAACAAAATATTCTGTTTCTATTTGCCAGCACTTACATTATGTTCATTTTTTGAAAGTGGCTTGGCATCTGAGTGAAAGGAGCGATTTGCTCCTCATTGGTAGAGGAACTCGTCGGGCCCAGTTGGGCAATTCCCCCAACACTGATTATGTCAAAAATTGCCCTGAAAAACTACGTTTTCTAAAATCTTAAATATAGCTGCAAAATTAAACCTTTATAATTGTGCAAAATGGCATCTTATAAGCACCGTACATAGGAGCCTCGTTTCAATTTTTTTTAGGGCCCCACCGCTGCATATGCTCTTGACAAACGAGCATCTTTTGTCGGTTTTTGTCAGATATCATTAACTGCTGCCATAGTCTTTCCTGCTTTTCTACCCAGCTATTGTGCAATTACGTGAAATAGCTGGAAATTTATCATAAATGACGTCAACTATAGAAGGATTCTTCAGGAAGAAAGACTTATACAAACAAAATGATGACATTTTAAGGCTACAGTTTAAGTCATGCTGAAACTGAGACCAGATCTGTGTAACGCCAGAACTATTATAAAGTTCCCGAATAGAGTTAGTCCCCCCCCCCTCTTTTCCTCCCCTATTCCATTACACGCTCTCGAATGTAAACCCTCCCGAACATTATCCCGGGGTATATATTTGGAATTGAACACAAAAGCACTGTTCTCCCCCATCAACATGAATACCCTCTATTACTAATACAGAGTATAAGAACAACCAATCCTATTCTTTAAGTGTTCTTTAGTGCATTTCTTACATTTAATTGGTAAATGCTTGTTACCTAAAATGTTTTATATACAGGGTATCTCGATGCCTTGTCCTTCAGTTCATGTGCCTTCTAGGGTCTTTCTAGCTTCACTAGCTTCACTTAACCTTCCTGTGAGTTTTGAAAAATATCCATCTTTGGACAATTGTTACAGCTTTTATTGTAAAGGTCTCGCAAACATCACCGATCCTTTAATTCTGATTGGAATTTTCTCTTGACATTTACGAATTCCGTCTATAGCCCCTAAATACAGTCCCCCGAAATATAAGCCCCCCCCCCCAGAATGGTCTTTGAACTGTTATAAGCACTGGACTCATATTCTGAATTCTATGGTATTGCAACAGACACCATGTGCGTTGTTCCAGTTACAACAACTTGGTGAGATTATGACAAGAAGAAGGAGAGAACTAGAAATAAAAACATCTGCAGATTTGCTAACTGACAGCTGAAGGCCTCAGGGCTTTGAACACATTGGACAAAAGGACAGTCAGTCAGTTGTTAACATTCAACCATGTGAACATAAGAATGGCAAATGCAAGGGCAACGAGGAGAAATCCAAAATTCTTATGCAAGTAGCAGCCTGTCCCTAACTTCGAGTTTGCCATTGTGCAAGAAATATTTCGCTAACAAATTTTGCCGAGAAAAAAAAAATGTTCTTGCTTTGGATTTGTTTCAAATCTCATTCTTTTTTTTCGTGCTGGAAAATTTTGCAGATGAAACTCTAAAGTTAAATTTTGCTGCCACGTCCCATAACAAAATGTGCACTGACTTAAAAGAGATATTCCTTTATTGTGAACTTTGAATAAAATCAGGAAGAAATTGTTTTAGACAAATAAAACCCAATAACATTCAAGCCCAAGAAACTAAGTAAGGATTTGATGCAGAATTTTTTACACTGTGACTAACTAATGCACTTACTTTATATGTTCCTCGTGTTCTTTTTTGATGTCTTCGCAATCTTTAGCATGGAGATCGTAGACCTTAACATATAACGGTACGCATAAGAAAAGCAGGTCTTGCATTGATTCCATAGCAAAAATAACAGCGATTGTAGACATGTAGATGTAAAACATTTAAGTGAGAGACGTATTCATTTTTGCTTTGTATGATAGAAACATAGGTAGCGGCAATCATCATTTTAGTTTTGATTTTTGGCTTAGTTACACGGATGCAGTAATTAATAAAGTAACGGCTGACAAGATGAATAATGTCTTTAAAAATAACCCCAATTCACAGTGTCATATCAAACTGCAAAGAGAAAAAGCCTAAATATAACCCTGCACAATCTAACGAAGTTCTGACATGATGCTCCCTGAAACAAATTAGCTGATATCCACATTTTCAGAGATTTGAGAGAGTAAACCTTCAATGAAAAAAATACCGCATTCTCAACTACTAATTCTTGGAAGGCATAATTCGGAAATGTAGTTCTCAGGCTCAAAAATGCTTCACGCAGCTGGTTGGGCAATTAGAGCTAAAGGAAAATCCATGGTAATATGATGTGGTGACATACTTGCTTCATCTCTAGTCTGTGACATACTTTTGTATCTTCAAGAGCAGCTGACAAATCATCGATTCTCGTTCTCAAGTCTTCTATAATCTGTCTACAGAAGAGACAAATATTTATAATTGCTACGTTTGTCGAGGCTTTTACAATTGATAAAGGCAAGATCTATTCACTACCTTGATATACTCGTATATTTCTAGGCAGATCTTCTTGATATGAAAACTGCCGTTATAAAAATGAATCAAGCTTCTAAAAACCCGAAATTTTCCAAATAAACCATTTACAAAAACGAAGTAGCAAATTCCTTAAATTAAATATTTTCGAGACAGAATAGCGTTTTTTCTTTGAAATTTGGTTGAAATACGTTTTCTCTATAAGCTTACCGATCGGTTGATAACTTTTCATTTCCGGATTTGAAGCTTGTTCTGAAACAAAGAAAATAACTAATTAAAAAACGATATCTATTTTCAATGTATAATCAAACACTGAGATATAGATGACTAAGTCAAGAATGACTTTAGAATTAAGCAAGAGAAATCTCTAACGTGTGATTGGCCTTGACTATAACAAGAGTGGCTTCAAAAAACAAACATTTTGAAAAATACTCAAGCTTTTCCTCAGACATTCTTCAGAATATAAAATTTCAAAACATAGATCGAAAACTCTGCGCTAGGAAATGTATATACCCAGTTGTGGATCGAATTAGGCCAATCAGAGACGTTAGCCCAATCAGTGGTGCTTACCTATTGGAAACATGATATGACCAAAATATGAATTTTTACAGAAATGAAAACTCTTAAGCTAGTTTTTCGTATCTCAAGATTCATCGTAGTTCCAACAGTCTTGACATTTATCCGCCAAACCAAAACTCATTTCCAAAGCTTAAAGAACATAATTTTTTATCCTTTCCAAGCCAAAATTAAAAATCTTCTCTAGCCTTAATCTCGTCGCATAATCCCAACAACAAACATTACCAAAAATACAGACACCAGCCTTATCGTCTGCCAGTAAAATCTTCTTTGGTAAAATTACCATTTTTACTTCTGTTATTCGTAAAATCAGGGATATTTAAAGAATATTCATTTGATTTTCTTAAAAGTAATACCTTGAACGATGTACCTTCGTTGTAACTACAGTAACGTATCAGAAAAAGATCACAAAATTCATACATCTTTACAACTTAATAGAGAAATGCATCGAAACTAAAGCTACTCGTTTGAATTCTGAACGCAAAGACGCTTGAACATATCAAACCCAAAAATAATTATTTAGTGACTTACAATGTGGTGTAGACCAAAATTCCAAATCTTAATGTTTTGGTTTAAAAACACACAAAGTGCAAATGAGATTTTGCGATGGCTTCAAGAAAATCTTAGAGTAAAAGATGGAATATTAAAAAGACAGTGTTTCGGTGAAAATCACAAGTTGGATAATGCAAATAATCTCAAGAATTTAGGAAAACAACAGTGTCTGCATATTACCTCCGCTCTCCTAGATTAGTCACCTGGAAAAGAAATGATTCAGTGTTAATGAAAGTAAAAATCCCCACAACAGACTTTAAATTCTTTGATAGCATAGCATTTAGCAGCGTGCAAAATGTTTTTAATCCAGGTTGTTCTGTAGAGGATTTGAAACCATTGAAATTGTTGTATGGAGATGTTTAGGTGCGTTGAAGGTGAAGATGTTTAGGTGCTGTTTCTTCTTACAAGACTACTTAACAGATTTTCAAGATTAGAGTTGACTGCAAATAGATAAAACAGTAACGTAGAAAATGGGAAACACTAAGGTGTTGTAATCATTTAAAGCCTGATTACATGGTAAGATTTTGAAAACTCTAGCTACTTTCATGGGAGAGCAAAATCTCGCAACATCGGATTTGCTGGACTGATTTTAGGGAGTGGAGAGGGGTGTGGCATGTTTTCTGGAAATTTTTGCTCACCACATAGACTTTGTAAGATTCTGGATATTACACAAATCTGGTGCAACTAAACAACATTATCAGCATAATATGGAATGAAAGCAATATTCAAAAGTAAAATTGTATTTCATATACACAGTGATCCAAGAAAATTGTGACACAAAAAGATAAAACGAGCTTTGGATAACATAAGCAGCTAAATATGTAAAGTTTTCTCAAGACAAACGAAAAGCTCTTAGCACAAATGAGCTAGGTTTGTAGATATAGCATGTAGCGAAAGTGCCTCAACATTTTGCATAGCATTGTATATCTATCGCAAGGTTTATTATCATTATCAAAAACTTATTTACAGAAGGCTGCTAAAAAGTAACTTATTTACAGCTAATTGAAGCCTAGGTTGCACGTATCCCCTCGCCCTAATCCAGCAAACTCTATCGCATGCCAGCTTCATTCGGATAGTTATACCACAATAACATTCAGGAAAGACCTAAACTACGATGCCTGCCAAAAGTCTTGGAACACTGACGTAAATTTCCAAGGTCAAAATCAATCATCCCCCTCTCCCCTACAGAACAATGTTGGTTTACTATCAAACAGGTTAGGATTTTAGGAAGCACTTTTTTGCGCTTCTTTTTTAATATTTCTCTAAATTATCAACATTGTTTTAGGGGGAAGGGGGCGGAAGTAGTAATTTTTTTCATGAAAGGAATGAAAGATATCAAATGCAGCGTAAATAGCCGGGTGTTCCAAGTACTTTTGACAGGCATTGTAAGCCCCTCTAAATGTGTAGCATTCGTTATATCCGTGGTAGTAGCAGTTCAATTTCCTACTCCAAAATTAATGTTGACCTCATCTTGCTTTTTGGAAATTGCTGTCAAGATAGATCCTTTTTGCAAGAAAAGTGGCACAAAAGGCGTGTTGCTATCTTGCAGCAAGCAATATTATTATCCTTGATTTTTCAAAAAAGTTTACAGAAGCAAGGTCCTTCGTTTTAAAGAAAATAACGTAAACATAGAACTTGCTTTCACGTTAAATCGGTATTTTGAAATGAACAAAGATTTTGAATTAATAAGCTGTCTTTTACAAACTGAAAGAAGTATTACGAGGAAAATTTTGGAATAAATTCTAGCTGTTTTTTATGCAGTGGATTTGACAACTAATTTCAAAACATTGATTTGTAAAACTTCCAGAAAAAGAAACTTCTAAATCCAAGAACAAATAATCATGTCACAAATCTTCCTCGGTGAAAACGTTTTAGCAGTTTTCTCTAAACAAGGTACACTACCGTTGGCCTGACAACGGACAGTACAGAAAATCTGACAATGACAGGTCCGTTCTGTGGAGATTTCATGCTGAATATATGTATACATATGTATCTCTACTTGGCAACATAAAAAGTAAGTGATTGGAAAATGGAACGTTCCATAACTGTTATCAATATTTAACGGTAATAACATCGTGTGTACTATTTTGTAAAATTTTCCTTACTCGTTTAGGGGGTTCCGTAAGCTGTGAAGTGTCAATCTTTGCCAAAACACCATGACTTGTCTGTGAGATGACATATCCTGGACCAATCGTGACATTTTTTGTCTAAGAATGTAAAATTCACAAATTCTGTTAATCAGCTAGGTAATTGATAATTCGTATTACGTCAAAAGGACGTTTTCCGGGAAGGAACTTTTCCAGGAGGAGCGTTTCCAGGAAAAACTTCTAATGAAACTCTCAATATTGAAAAACTCTGCATCTTGCTTTATCCTTGTTTTCAATCTAAGTTCAGACGTTTAACAGTAAATTTTCAGATAAATAAATTTCCTAGCAAAATATCTAGTACTTCATTCGATAAATTTGTTCACCTCCTAATTTGAAAAATTTGATTGTTTTAGCCATAAAAGCAACTTAACTCTTTAAAAAAGCGTTCTTCTTCAATACATTTTTGCATGCTGGCGGTGGAATGACAGAGCTGTGTGGGGCTTAAACACATAAAATCCTTGACGTTCTTTTGGTAGTAAAATCTTGAAGAAATAAGAACTAAGCAGCACAATTTGTCTCAGTAATAATAAGTGTATAAAATAAGAAATAAGATAACAGATCTCTAGCATTTCAGATTTCGGTAACTTTTTTTACAAAGTTTTGTGTCTGAAAATCATTAAAAAATAATTTTGATATTTGAAAATGTTTGAAAACGTTTGAAAATGTTTGAAGTCATCAAAGTGTTTGGAAATTATGTTATACAAAAATAAAGTTATTTTTCAAAGCTATAGATTGCTTCTTTCTTCTACTAGTTGATCATTTTACTTATATATTTCAAGATAACTAGCTTTTTAAATATTTTGGGGCTCTCTGGCATTGGGCTGTTGGCCACTTATATCTGTAGCACAGTGGCTAGAGGGCAAGAAAGCAACTGTCTCCAAATAAGCACCCAATTTGCTGGCAAATTTAAGAAATTTCGCTATTTTATCAGGATTTTTTAGAGACAATTTAGCTGTAGCCTACCAAAAATATAGCTCCTACTGCACCCCTGAGTGCTACTAAAGTACCTAACATAATTATACTGTGAGTCCGTCACAGAACAACTCTTTCAGCCAAACTTCAATGACTAGAAAAAATGAGCAATGGTAAACAGACAACTTAATATCACATAAAATAGTTTTTTGAAGTCTTTGGTATTAAAGCAAGATTTTTAGACATGCCCATAAGTTACAGAATATTTAGCAATTGAAGGAAAACTATTGATTACTGTTCTGTCATAAAGTGCCATATGCCACATAGGCAAAGCTATGCCCAATTTGTGTATAGAATGGGATGGTTCTAAGTGGCTAATTCAAGATTTATGTTGATGTGAAAATTAGGCAAATATTTAGCAATTTAAGTCAGCTTCTAATGATATAAGGTCCTTAAAAACAAACCTTTGGTGGCTGAAACCTTTGCAGAACTTTTTTCATGTTCTCCTCTTTAAGATTTTTTTCAGTCAGAATTTTTCCTTTTCTGCTTCTAGACCTGGGAATTTCAAAAGCAAGGGAATGTTTACTGGGATGTACAATAAAAATACAAGCTGGCTTTTCAGAGAATCTAAAAAAATTTAATTAAGAAAATTACCATTTTAACAGTCTGTCCTATAGTATTTGATGCCATATAGGCAGAGATCTACACTGTAATGCAATCATCATACAAATGAAAGCATGTATACCTCTGCCTATATGGCGACCTGGGCTTTTATGACAGTGTCCATTAAGAAGTATAGAGGCTAAACATCTGCAATGGGGATGCTTCTTCTCCCCAAACATAATTTCTTTACAGGTACAATAAGGAAGTTGCTCAGTATCATTAAACCAAGCAAAATTGTTCATTTGGCTAAAAATAATATCAAATACATACCCCATCTGTTTCTCTCTTCTACGAATTTGTCCATCCATTGGTATCCCAGCAGTTGAGCTGACAAAGAGAAATGCACATATCAGGCAGACCAAACAAGAACTTTTCAAATGACAAAACCTCTTGAATCTTATTTGGCTATTTTGTGCAGAAATGCAGCCATGCTGTGCATTATTTCCCAGCATTGTTGTTATCCTTTATATTATGTTACTAATAAATGCAAAGATTTTAATGACAAACTAAATACAAAAATTAGATTATTCAATCAATTTCTCTTTGATGTGGTGAAGACACAGACAATATTCATGAAGTATTGAGCAAACAGATTAAGTAGCTCAGCTTTGCAGAATGCAAATTATTGAAGAAAGTAGCAACCTATAGTCAGATGTTTTACTGAAACCTTATATTCTATTGTCAGTGGTGTAGCTAGGGGGAGAGGCTGTAGGAGGGTGTGACAGCTACAAATACACTTAGTGAGCAAAAGTATTGCACAGGCTGATACAGAAATGGTGGCACTGAAGCAAAATGTTTTAGCTAACTAAAATTCAAATGGCCACAGAAAGTTTAAAAAAGTCAGAAGATGACTTTATAGTTGGGAAATAATGGAAAATGTATTAAGGTTTGGTGCTGAAAATAGCAAATGCAAGAATATTCTTGTTTCTTGCCTATTTCTAAACAAAATCAGCATTTGCAAAAACATGTAAATTGAGCAATGATTATTGAAGTACCTTTAAAAAATTTGTAATAAAAAAGTTCATCTTTGCATCAATGTGCAAGATCTTATGCAAATTAACTCAGGGATACTTAGTTTATGCTTTGCTGTCTAGAACTGTTCATTCTCCTCACTGTTGTTGGAGAATATGCTAAACTTTTTGGTAGGAAAGTTTTGGGCCTAATGGCAGTGGCAGTTTTGTGATTTATTGCATCAGGATTCACTCAATTAAATGTGTCACAAATCGTCAAGCCCAACTTTCCTAACCATTTGCGGTGTTGGTAAGGGAACAAATAATGCCGCAAATTGTTTCAAACAACATTTCGCCTTCTCATTGATTGAAAAGACCAAAATTCCAGTGATAAAAAGTGCCTCAAAGACTGTGAAAAAGTGGGCATAATAAAATGATTTAAAATATGACACTTTTGACCAAACACAAGGTCAATAATGTCCAACTTGGCACTCCAATGACTAAATTTGATCATGCAAATGTTTTTCTGAATCTAACATGTCATGATTAACAGAACCTGTTAAAAAACCTTTTAATAAAGCTTTAGCTAGTCTTACAAAGGTTTCAAAGCAGTGAGACTGTCAGATAAAAAGTCCACTTTTTTACATTTTAAAAAGTGAATTTCTTCAATATTCAAACCAAAAGTGTTACCAACAAAGTTGAAGTTTGGCTTGATTTGGTTTATAACTATAGAAAGACGTCCAATGGCTTCACAAAATTGGTTTTATTTTCGATCACCAATTATTTTAAATTTTTTGCTCACAAAAGTGTACTTTATGAGTTGGTCTGTAAATCTCTAGTTGTTCCAAAAAATCCTTGGTTTGTTGATAAACATCTTTGTTCGGTTGGTGAGATAGCACCAACAATTTTCCTTTATTGAGGTCTTTGTCTGTAAATTTTACAATTGACAATCCCCTATCACCCTATTTAGGTGGGCAAAGTTACACCATTGTATATTGGTTGACATGACTGGACAGACAATACAATCATATTTCTATCTGTTTTTTCTTAGTTAACCTAGCTAACAATACTTCAATACCAAAAAATCTTTCTTAACCATCTCAAATTTTGTTTTGATCTTCTGTCGGTATCTTAAAAATTGGCTAACTTTTGACATAAGAAATTTCTTCACAAGTTTTGAAAAATGTTGTCATAAATAAGGCACTACAGTCAGGATTTTATATGAATCTCTTTGATTTTCTAGAAAAGGCCGGCGTTAAGAGCACTTCTATGAAAAAGGCAGCAGGGGCGGTTGACTCCCACGCCCCCACTCTCCGGCGTCCCTATTTTATTCCATTGCATTTGTCAATGTAACATCTATTATTCAGAAATAAAAAACAATGTTCAGAGCATGTAGTTTGTTGATATGCCAAGTTGCATCTCAAATCAGTTTCTTAGTAAATGACAGATATAATATTTGAAAAACTTACTGAGGTCTCTTTTCATAATACAATTCTTGCTTCAAGGCATTTGGAGACACTGTCCTGCACCTTCTTGCCAGCAATTCGACTTCACCAGATAACGATTTTACTCCTGCTCCATCAAATAGCCAAAACGGTTGCACGGATTCTGGTCGAAGGCTCACTATTTGAAGGTCGTCCACATCGCTCACTGCCATTTTGTAATTTATGGTGTCAGCTTGTCTTTGTTGCTATGGCATTATCTCACATTCCAGTTCGATCTACGCTACGGTTCCATTTAATGGCCCTTTCCTTGTTTAAACTGGTCCAGAGCGACTATCTTTATCGGCAAAAACATCCTGAATTGACTATAATCATATCATACCCATGTAGGCGCGAAAAGTCATAAACAAACATCTAGGTTATCCAAAATGTTCACACTGCTGAATGTTTCTGATTTGTGAAACGGCCTCTTTGTCATAGTGAGGCTGGTGGTTTATAATAAAAATTTGCCCAGAGCATAGTGCCCAGAGAAATGGGGAAGGTTGAAAACTCGTAGGATAAACGCCAAAAATTCTTTCTGGGAACGAAATTTCTGCACTTAGAATGGGATGGAAATAGCTAAGACTTGGAAAAAACGACAGGCAGGGAGTGATACGGGCAAAATGGCTACGAAAATACTGGGCGCAAGCCCCTCAGGCTTTCCTCTAAGATTTGGAGCCTACCTAGACGTGACAGGGATACTCCACACCCAAATATAATTATGTAAACAGATTCAAGCACCCTCCTACTCCTTTTTACCAGTTGCATGCTCAAACTTTATGTCACGGACAAAGTCTTTTGCTCTCTGGGTTATCGTTTTAGCAGGCACACTAATTTTTTTAACAAGAAACTCCAGTTTCTTAATGTTCTGAAAATTTCAATACACGATACTTAATTATGATATCATGAATGATGTTATGAAATGTTCGTGACCTTTTTCTTCACGTCAAGAGATTTGCTTCTGTTCTGACGCTGTATTTAGACGTGGGAAGTATATTTTTTAGCACTTGTGTCTTAATTTCTAGGCCATCAGGGCAATCATGTTCTTGGATTTTTCTAGATTTTGTTGTTCTCAGTTTTACCAAGATTAAGTAGTTTCTTAATGCTTCGAGTACTGAAGTGTTTTAATTTTTTCTGACTGTCCAGTACTCGTTCCGTATAGCCAGTTTCTTATAAAAAAAAATGAGTGTAGTCAAGTAATATTTAGTGATATGTCATTAAAACATTCCATTTAAAGGTATAAAAATCTGCCTTCTTGTCTATTTCAAACAGATTCATATAGCTGTTTATTCACGCATCAAGGCTAAAGTTTAACTTAATCAAGCCTTACTTTTCAATCTTAATATCCATTTAGTTTACTCGAAAACAAAACAATGGACAAGACCTTTAATCCTTCCTTTGATTTGTCAGCAAAGCCCAGAACACTTTTGCTTCATCAAGTGCTTTACCCTGGGTTCCAGAGCGTCCAATGTAGCAAGTGGGGCGTCGAGGAAATAGGGCGTTGCGCTTATAACTGATTAGATAACAAAGGATCTGTGTATTTGTATCTGGTATCTTACATAAACTAACTCCCGATGTCGATTTTTCTAATATAATGTAGATTGATTTTGCTCTTTTGGTAACCTTGAATAAATAATACGTTTTGAATCCCTCTTTCGTTTAAAACAAAGATTGTAGAAATAAAAACTCTCATAATCGTTATATGAATTTCCATCTTTATAAGTAGATATAACCCTTTTTATATGAATAAATGCATACAGTGTAACTAGCAGCAGTGTAACTAACGAGACCTGCATATATTTGCATAAATATTTTGAGAGTTCTAATTATGATTATTTATACATAATAATTCTAATTCATCGAAGCAGAGAAGATACACGGATTAAAAACGATCTTAAATGTTCAACTACACAACTTGTGATAACAATGATTGAAAATCTTTGAAGATTTTTTTCAGTGCAAGTTCGCCAATGATAATTTTCAAACCAAAATCGCTTATTGCTGCATTTGGTAAGTGGCATCTACTCTTTAGAAGTTGTGGCATTTTAAAGAAAGGATAAAGCTTTACCGACACAATAAATGATTTCGCACAAGCCATTTTCTATGGAGTAACTATGAATTAATTGTTCACAAAAAAACCGTGAGAAGCTATAAACTTTAAGTACTGTGCTTATTCGAATGGTAAAATGTCTTTAAATATGATTAATAGTATGTGAACACTTTGATATTGTAAACAACCAATACCATCACTTGATCATAAATAACGTCTTCATACTTGTGTCATTTTCGTTGTGAATCCAGGCAGTGGCTACCACAAGATTCTGAAGGGACCAAATGGGAACGGTTAACCCCTTTAATAAGGCATTCGGCAGCAATTTGGCGACGGTTTTTTAATGCTGCATTGGCCAAGCTTCACACAACGATCGTTTACACTTGCAGTTCTTGAAGATGGTGACAAATTTGTACCTGTATCGCAGCCCAGCCGGTTTTGTCGAATCACAATCCAACTTGATGACTCTGTATTCCTTTAAAAGTGGGGCGCAGAAAGAGCACACTGCCGTTGTCTTTAAACTGTACCTGCGTCGTTTGGGATAGAAAAGAGATCGGCATAATCCATAACAGAAATTATTTTCAATCACCTTTGGTTGACATCCAGGAAGGTGGACGGTATAGTTGAAAGGTTTTGTGAAACACAAGTCGATTCCTCCACTTTGATCGGCAGTTGAAACATACATTGTAAACCATGTTAGGAATGTTGCCAAACAAAGATCAATTTTCATGATGCAAGAAATTGATAACAGTCTCCACTTGCCAAAGTTTTGTATACCGATTTCTTGTTTGCCAATGTCTTATATGCGCTAGCTCTGAATGTACAAGCCTTAAATGCCTTGTATAACAACTAAGTATGATAACTAGATCCCGAAGTCCAGCCCAGGATTTGACCACTGCTAAAATTATCCACTTAACAGCCTTAATAGAGTTGACCAGTGAGCATTTTGCGAAGTCAAATGCTTTCTAATTACTTTGTGGGCAGACAAGCAATATAATTGCTACATTTTATTGCGTGCTTGCCATTACATTCCACATTGATTGCGCTGGGAAATCCAGTCTATTAGCCTGAAATTATTCTGATATGGCCTTTGAAATTACACTACGAGTAAGCTAATACATTTGATGCAGGGAAAAGGTCGAGTCATTAAGATACCTTGAAAGTGAGTAAGAGTGTAAAGTTTTTGGAATTTCGCTCATTGATGTAATCAAAAGCCTTTACACCTGCTTTTATTTAAATTTGAAGCCTCTTTCGAGTGAATTGGAAGCTTTGCCTACAGTTTCAACATTTTAACAAATGTATCATACAACTTATTATGCACATCTGCACGAGCTGGAGCCCCCCCCCCCCCAAAAAAAAAACTATACTATAGTTCCTTTATAATGGTGTACCGAATGGGAAGCAGTGTAATGGGCAGCCCCCTCCCCTCTAATATGATATTTGTTTTGACAACACTGGTTAAAATAAAAAATAGATGCCTAACTGAATTGTTGCTGCATATTGAGTCGATTCAATCAATATAGACACATTTTCTTCAAAGCCAATTCTAATCAACATTTCTTTCTGTGCCCTGAATATCAAGCAAAATATTTGATCATCCCTACCAACCGACTATATTTTCCCTGACTTGTGCAACTCTACTGAACTATTTTTATTTTAAGTGAAATATCAAAATAAACATTTTACTAAATTGAGAGTTATTTGTATAGAAATCGTCACATTAAACGCAAGCATTCCATGATTTGGTGTTGCAAGTCTCAAGTACTGTAGCAAAAGCTTCAATTATGAATGCTGAATCAAGCAGCCATCCCTATCTTTAGATAAATATTTGTCTTCTATTTTCAGGTGGAGCGCAAAAGGGTGCAAGGGAGCCATGGCTCCCGCACTTTAAGGTAAATTATAGAGTACCGAAGTGTGACATCATCAAAAATCTATTTTTAGAATTTTTTTTAAATTTGGCCCTATAATCTGAAAGAACGGCACAAAATGCCTCTAAATGTGCAAAATTAGCTAGATGTGTTATTCCAAATTGGGCGACATATGGCCAACAGAAGATTTGAAGTTTGCTAACCGATTTCTGTTATTCTGGCCTGGTTCATAAAGTTATGAACCAAGACCAAATTACAGAGGTTTGGTGGGGCAAGAGCCTGTGCTAATGTGGCCATATCTCAGCCAATTCGTAATGCCTTTAACTGATTTTGCATATTTAGAGGTATTTCATGACGCTCTTTTAGGTTCTGTGATAAAAATTCTAAAAATAGATATTTATGACGTCATCACTCCGGTACTCTATACTACTAACAATGGAATATCAATTCCACTCTTTGGCAATCCATCTTTTTAGCAAAAGGTACAAATTGTTTGCTTACAATCAGTGGTAACAATCAATGGTACCAGATAATTTAACGTTTTCATTGTGCTATTTGCCTCTGAGGAATGATTGTCTACATTAATAGTAGGCCAGGTGAAGCCTGCGTCGACGGGTATCATTTTCTTTTGTTCTTCTACTTCCTCCAATTTTGCTTTTAAAATGCTGTTAACCTACTCTGGTGTATAGGACGGAACAATTCTAAATTGAACCTCTGGGATCCACATCGATAACTATGACTAAATTTAACTTAAATATTCAGTAAATATTCAGGAAGCATAGGGCCTGATTGCCTTGTTAATGGCAGAATGTAAATGTTTTTGATACTCTGTTTTCACAAACATTTTGTAAGATATTACAAAACTGGACGGACGTGCGTTACCATATAACTCAAATTAATCTTCAGAAGCAAAATCTATGGGTATTGATGTCATTGAGTTCGATGTTGAAAATCAATAATTTCTTATAAATCCCTGAACTTTGTTGACTTAGCTTCAGCAGAAATAACCTTTTAAAGATGGATTTAAGTGGATATGCTATAGTTTCTAAGCCCAATATCTATGCTGTTTGAAGAATTCCTAGAAATATTAGTAATTTCGGATAATTAGTATCAGATAAAGCAGCCAATTAGTACATGGGCGGATTAATTACATTTTTCTTAAACAACTCAATACAGCAAATACGGCACATACTGATGTGGGAAATATCTTCAGATGTTTGTCGAGTGAGTATTATAGGTTACAACCCCCCTGAATTAACGCTAAGCACATTAAATAGTGGTGCAAAATCTTTACTACCCGGGTGTGAACAGCTATTTCATGCACTCAGATGTATCTTAAATTTATTTAGGATCAAATGCAGGTTTCCGCATTTGAGCACTGGATCTTGTGGTTTCAATTGAGAATTTCCATTGCATAGATAAGTTTATTTCAAGTATATGGAAAAGTTAGATACAAAAGATCCCGATATATACAAAAAACCCGATATAGAAACAATAGATAAGAGATTCG